AAGTGTGACCGTCGCATGCGGTGTAAGGATAACTCTGAGATTCTGAAACTGTCAAATTGTGAAATTCTGACATTCTGTATAAGTGTGACTGTGGCGTACGGTATAAGAATAACTTTGAAATTCCGATATTCTGAAATTGTGAAGGTCTGAAATTCTAACATTTTGTATAAGTGTGAGTGTCGCATACGTTATAAGGATAACTTTGAGATTCTCAAATTCTGAAGTTGTGAAAATCTGACATTTTGTACAAGTGTGGCCTTCGGATACGGTGTAAGGATAGCTTTGAAATTCTGAAATTGGGAAGTTCTAAAATTCGGACATTTTGTATAGGTGTGACTGTCGCATACAGTATAAGGGTAACTTCGTGATTCTGAAATTCTGAAATTCCGGAATTCTGAGATTTTTTGTACGTGTCACTGTATATGTGCCATACGGTATAAGGATGACTCTGAAATTCTGAAGTTCTGACAATTTATATAAGTAAATTCGGCATGAGGATAGCTTTGAAATTCTGAAATTCGGCCATTTTGCATAAGTGAGACTGTCGCAAACGGCATAAGGATGATTTTGAATTTCTGAACTTTTGACATTCTTTATAAGTGTGACCGTGGGATGCGGTATAAGGGTAACTTTTAAATTCTGAAGTTCTGGCATTTTATATAACTGTGACTATCGCACAAACTATCAAAAAAACTTTTAAATTCTGAGGTTCTGACGTCTTGCATAAGTGTGAGTATCGCACACGGTGTTCAAAGTACAACGATAAGTTCGAAATTCGGAAATTCTGCAATTGTGGATTTCTGAAATTCGGAAATTCTGACATTTTCGATCAGTGTAACTATCCGACGCGGTAGAAGGATAATTTTGGCATTCTGAAATTTAGAAATCCTGATAGTTTTTATAAGTGTAACTGTCCCATACAGTATAATCATAACTTTGAAATTCTGAAATTCTGAAAGTTTGACATTTTGTGTACGTGTTACTGTCGCACGTGTTATATGGATATCTTTCTGCAATTCTGAAGTTCTCAGATTTTCCATCACTGTAACTGTCCGACACGGTATAAGGATAACTTTAACATTCTGAAATTTGAAAAGTGCGACATTTTGTAGAAGTGTGACTATCGCGTACGGTATACGGATAACTCTGAAATTCTTAAATTTTGATCTTTTCCACAAGTGTAACTGTCCCACACGGGATAAGGATAACTTTGTAATTCTGAAATTTTGAAATTCTCTTATTTTGTATAAGTGTGACTGTCGCAGACGGTACAAGCTCAACTTTGAAAGTATGAAATTGGGAAATTGGGAAATACTGACAATTTGTATAATTGTGACTGTCGCACGTGGTATACGGATATCTTTGAAATTCTGCAGTTTTGCAATTCTGAAATTGCCACATTGTGCAGTAGTCCCACACGGTATAAGGATCATTTTGAAATTCTCAAATGCTGACATTTTGTGACTATCACACATGTGACAATCGCACACGGTATACGGATAACTTTGAACTTCTGAAATTCTGCCGTTTTGTATGAGTGTGACTGTCGCGCAAGGTATACGGATAACTCCGAAATTCGAGCATTCTCACGTTTTCCATTAGTCTGACTATCCCACACTGTATAAGGATAACTTTGAAAGAATGAGATTCTGACATTTTATATGGGTGTGATTATCGCTCATGGTATAAGGATAGCTTTGAAATTCTGACATTTCGTATAAATGTAACTGTCGCACACGGTTTAAGGATAACTCTGAAATTCTGAAAGTCTCACATTTTCTTTAAGTGTAACTGTTCTACGTGGTATTAGGATATCTTTGAAATTCTGAAATTCTCTCATTTTCCATACGTGTAACTGTCCCACACGGTATAAGGATAACTTTTAAATTGTGAAATTTTGACATTTTGTGTAAGTGTAACTGTAGCACGCGGTATAAGGATAACTTTTAAATTGTGAAATTTTGACATTTTGTGTAAGTGTAACTGTAGCACGCGGTATAAGGATAACTTTGAAATTCTGACAATATGTATAAGTGTGACTGGCTCACGTGGTGTACGGATGTCTTGGAAATTGTGAAATTGTGAAATTCTCATATTTTGCATAAGTGTGACTCTGCCATACGGTATAAGGATAACTTTGAAATTCTGAAATTCTGAGATTTTGTATAAGTGTGACTGGCGCACATGGTGTATGGATATCTTTTGAATTCTGAAGTTCTGAAGTTTCTCGTGCATTTGATAGTTATTCTGTATAGTGATAATTTGACAGCGCTGCTAAATATGTCTTGTGTTTTAGTGATATTAAAATCGTGATGCTTTATCCGATAGCCATCATCATAATCCATTGGTCGACAGTTTCTTCGTCAAGCAAAGTAATTGAATCAATATATCGCGGCTCAGCTACTACTTCTTCATTATCTACTACGTTTCAAAATATTTCATATGATTTTGTTCAATCTAAAGATATGAGGATAGTCATTTACATAATCATTATTCTATATATGGTCCTGTACTTTCTCTGTGTAAGTCATCGTATTATACACATTTTTATATGACTTTGTTTAAGTAAAAATAGGGATCCTATTCTACCATCATCATTAGATCAATTAGTTAAAGATGATTATCCTCTAGTGGCAGTAGAAGTATAAATGTGTAATGAAATCATTAACTTCATTTAGCCTGATTAACCTGCACACAGATAGTTCTCTAATCACAAATTTAGATCGAATATTCAAAATCCGGCTCTATTATCGTCTGACTAAAGCCGTTAGCGTCAATTTAAAACCAGCTCGAGCTCTCCGTGACATTTCATTACCAAGAAATTAAATGTTATAGTTGCAAAAAATGTGTACAAAAGCAAATAGGTAAAATCGCGTTTCGCCAATAGACGTTCGCCATAGGCGACTGGCCAAATTGACATTCTTCAATACCCCTACGACATTCGCTATTATCTATGTATTAGAATATGTTTTAATTACTAATTACTAGATAAGAATGTGGATTTATCGAACGGTGTTTAATAAAAAATTGTTATCCTGTTAATCTGATGAAAACATAAATCAAAAATACAATAGAACAATATAATAAATACAGCTTTAGCCAATAAACGATATTACCAAGTGAAAGTAATAAATATTTATCTCAAACTTTGGCATACTTCGTACGAGCGAAAAATGACTTCTAACAATTACAGTGAGTCGAAAAACTAGCCATACACCTTAGCTCTCATTTTAGAATAGTTTACTTCCTAAAATTTATGAGACAAACCTTCACAACTATAGTTACAATTAACTTTACCGTGGTAAAATAAACAGAAAGTTAGAGAAGGCTGTTTTGATAGTAAAGTTCATCGGTTGAGACTCATTTTATATGAGCATGTAGCCTTTAGTTAGAAGAACACTTTTTGTTGCAGAATCATATGGTGATTTTTTACTTCGAGTAGCAATTACAACTTTTTTTCTGACGAAAGGTAAAAACGCCATGTATTTGAATGGAGCTGCCATCAATAGGTACAAAAGATAGCTTGACTGTCATATTTGAGAACACGCAAGAACGCAAAACAATCGAGCATGCCCCTTCTTTTTATCATTGTAATTAAGTCAAACTAAATTAGTTTTGAAAACTTTTTACATAGTTGGATAGAGAATTGTCTCCTTTATCCCGGAATCTAAAATTCCCTCTTATCACTTGAAAAATGGCTGAGAAAATCAAGATTTACGGAAAAGAAAAATTTTCCTGCCATCAATAGGAACACTAACTCTACTCTTTACTTTTGAAATAAAAGATACCACTTTATCGTTACTCAGGAAAGGAACGGAAAAGTGTCACCCATAGTCTAAACGTCATGCTGTTACGGTTTTCCCACACTATTTCTAGATTTTCTCAGTAACGGTATGTGACAGAAGGTTCGTTCTGTTGTCACTTTGTGTGTCGATCTCTTTCCCATCACTGATAAAAAGAATAAAAAAAAATTTCTATGGACAAAACAAAGAGCGTAATGCTGTTACGAATAAAGACCCTTCAGATGTTTAGTAGGTTTTTCACAAATTTTCTCAAAACAAATGACAAAAAATTTTTCTTTTCGAGCCATTTTGTAGCCTAATCAACCGGCTATCCGGTCATTAAAAGAATTATTCTTAACTTAATTCTGCAACCCCAGAATAATCATTTTACGTTCTTAACGCTGTTATACACTGAAATTTTTGTATCGGCTATGGCTTTCTTATGTCGTAAACATCACAAAACTCGAATTTTCACTTTTCTGTAGAGTTTGTCATAGATGGAAAGCATTTAAGTGAAAAAGAAAGTACAAGAATAATTTGTGAGCTTTTTGAAAAGTTTTCACAAAAACGCTCTTTTTTCGAGTTGTGAAAAACATAAAATTTGTTATGAGTGTCTGAACTCCAAACAAAATGAACCATTTTGTATTCTAGTTCTTGGGGCTACTGTAAGTTCAATATGTTTGTCTTGCCATGCAATTTTTTTATTTTTAATATTCAATATTAAACCATCTAAATTATTGATTCTACCACTTTTATCCATGAATATATTTTTTACTTTATTCTGCTGATTGTTATAAATCTATAACTGTTTTTTAATAATCACATGCATCTATATACATATATATATTTCAAGTCTAGCTAAACATAGATTACAATTTCTTGTATTTAAATTTTTATCAATTTCTTCTGTTGTTTTTATAAATCACCAAAACGTGGTAACAAGCCAAAGTTAGTCGCTTTGACGCCTGACACTAGTCAATTAGATGATTTAATATTAACAAGTATCCGTGGTAATACCGAATTACAATCAAAAAATTAAAGAAATATTAAATGATAATAAAGGTGACTTTAGTGCTTGTTTGGAACCAATTGTTGCCACGCTTGTTGGGAAGATCCAAAAGCATATCGATTTAAGAATTCATCCAATAATAAATAAAATTAACTATCTTGAACGCCACTCTCGTACACATAATGTTCGTTTCAGTGAAACAGATAATAATGTGCCTTCGATTAAAAAATGTTATTGTGAATGTTGTATCACAATCTAGTCTCAAACTGGATATCAATCAAACTGAAGCTGCACATCAAATCGATAAACCAAAACTAAATCGTACAGTGATTGCATGTTTTTATTCGCATAAACATTCATATAATTTGTTAGCCGCCAATAGAAAATTAACTGAACAAACAACAGATGTAAAACCAAATATGATACATACGTGCTTGAAAAGCTCACCAGCACAGATAGATATTCGCCTTGCGTTAGCTGTCAAGCAATAAAATACAAAATTCGTTTAATTAGAACATTAAGAACACGGGCTATTAGAATATGTTTAATAGCCAATTACTAGATAAACAATGTGAATATATAGCGAACAATGTGTAATAAAAAATTGTTATCCTGTTAATCTGATGAAAACATAAATTAAAAATACAATAGAACAATATAATAAACACAGCTTTAGCCAATAAACGATAAAAATCTTATCAGTGCGTGTTTCATGTTAGTCATACTTGAAACCGTTATAGTATGTGTTTTCTTTTCTGTAGATTAGACAGCTTGTACGACAGATATGCATTAGATATACGTGCAATCATACGTGATGTACATATTGATTCAGATACGTGTGTGTTATAAGCGGCAGAAATACTTATGTCAATTTTATTTTTATTCTCATCATTTGGTTTTGTCTTTCTTGATGTTTCTTTAATAATT